ACACAGTATCTCAAGCTCGCAGGTTGATGTAAGGGGCTGTACTTCCCTTCCTTTTGTCCTAAGCACGGAGCAAACCCACAGAAATTAACTTCTCTAGTGACCAAGCCCTGTAGGACAATGCTGCCGTTTATCGTCATATCCCATACGCGCTGCTGTGCCGTTAACCTTTTGTATCGATTCAGCTCCTCTTATACATCAGTGCTGGTTGGCATCTTTAATAAATCCTGTGGCGATAGGACAGAAATCGGCGAGCAACACTGCTCATGAGAAGCGTTCCAGATTTCTAACCAGAAATACAATTTATCCCAAAAGCAGGGTGAAGAGGAAAGAGGGAAACCTTCATTTCTGCAAGCATGTCTAGAAATCCTTGGGAAGCAAAAGGACATTCACTGACACCCCATTTGTGCAGCGAACACTGTTGAAGCATTTCCTGTTGCCAAGGTATGTGCTGTTCCAGGGGGGTTACCAGGGCACGACGGCGCATTGTCATGCAAATGATGCAGAGTTATTGAAGGCACATCCCAGCAACAGCCCACATTTTTTCACTAGTTTGATCCCGGCATTGAAAAGGAAACAAAACAACTGCGGCAGCACTGGCCTAAGCCAGAAACGCCAGCTACCCCAGAGCTATGGGAGTAGCAAACCTGCGGCTGGCGGATTCAGCAGGCCCTACTGCTCTTCATTGAAATGGGAACCGGGAAAGAAACCAGCCCCCGAGTCCTTACAAACACGTGCAGCGCTTTTTAACTACATTGTTTGTCATGATCTGCAAGTGACACTGAGAACAGTGGAAGAAAGTGACACCCAAACCTTTGCTCAGAAAAATCACCGTACATGTTCCATTCACACGTCGCTATTTGGGATCAATTTGCATGCGATGGTTTTGAATTGAAAACTGTAAAAAGCTTACTGGCAGAACATGCAACTGAAAACACACTTTAGAAGCTGTTTTCCAGAAAAAGCACAAAAGCATATACTTGCAGCCATACATTTATCAATCCAAATAATCTCTTGCCCTTTCCAATTGTTATTACTATAGCTTGGGTGACATCTTGCCCTTTTCAGCTAGAGAAATACATGGTTCCCAGCAGTGGCAATGACTTATCAGCAAACTGGTGCTTAAGTTTCCTTACTTGAAACAAATTACTAGAAGTTTCTTATTTTTCACAGAAGTACTTGTAAACAGGAACTGCTGATAAGAAAAATTCAGAGAGATAGAAGATGGTTTATTTGCTTCCACAAGGGAACCAGTCACACACCACAAAATCCTTCAGAATGAGCAGATACGTAGCACTCAAAATGTCCTCTGAACATGACTGAATTAGAGCTTTCCCTTAAATCCCTGTCAGGGTTAATCTTTCCCATACTTAACAGACACCTCTCAAACACTTTCCTGAAAACAAAGGTAGAAACTGCAGGTGGCATCAGTCACCTATTGATTTTACCAGAGGAATAAAGACTCACCTTTCTGGACTTACCATTCCAGGATGAACTGCAGAAGTGAAGTTGTGTCCATACATTTGAACGCTGCCCTAGCTAACTCAAACCAGGGCAAACTAATGTCACCTCAAGGAACTGAAAAAGATGGGCTTGACTGATTTGGAAAGAAAGGGAGAAATTTCCTTGACAGGAACTCCAACACGCCACCAGAAGTGTCAGGACAAACGCTTAGAGAACAAAAACTTGAGGGGGGCAGTGGGCAGGAAGAAGATACCGGCCAAGAGAGGGAAGACCTTAATGCTCCCAAGAAAAAACATTGATTAGAAAATACTGAGAATCTGCATGGAAAAAACAATCTATAACCCAAAGAATGCCATTTTCCCATCTCCCTGTGCCACATCCAGTGGAGAAATCAATGCTTCAGACCTGAAGGAAACCGGTTCTCTCCTCACCACCTGCAGTGACCCAGCAGTGACTGCAAATTGTCACTGCTCTTCCTAAAACCGTATGACAAGCCTCCCCGGGGAATGGCAGACAAGCAGGGCTAGCAGGGGCTCTGAAAGAGGAAAGGGTGCCTCAGCAGCCAGCCTTCAAAACCGTTCTCCAGGAGCCAGAGGGAAGCAGCCTCTGCCACGCACCCCACGGCCCTGGCACAGCGGCAGAGCTGGCAAGGACTGGAGTCTAGTGGAAAGCTCTTGTGAACCACACTCACCATGCAAACAACGCCGGTACGGAGCAGCAAACCATGGCGTAGCCACCTGGCTGCTGAGGGGCCACGGTACCAAAGCACGGCGTGGCCATGTGGCTGCTGAGGGGCCCCGAGTACCGTGGCCAGCTGCGGAGGCAGAGGCCCTGTGGCTGCACGTCTCTGAAGAAGGAAGGGCAGGCTTCGCTGTGCCGCAGGGGCCAAGAGAGCTGGAAGCGGGGGAGGCTGGGAGCTCCTTTCTGATGTGTGACCTGGCACAATGCAAGAAAAAGCTCACACCAGGCTAGGGGAAAAAATAATCACTGCTTAGATTTGTACCTGCTGGGAGAGAAAAAAAGTGCTGCAGGAGGAAAAGGCAACACTGGAAATTTAGAAAAGGCTGCTGGGAATGAGGCAGAAACCGGGACGCAGCTTCTGAAGGTTGTCAAGGCAAAAGAAACCACAAAGAGACAAGACACTGTGACAGAAAGCTAGAGGGCAGTGGGGCCCTAAGTCTGCAGACTGCTGGGGAGAGGGAAGCCAGGGTGGTGCCTGGAGATAACCCTGGGGCAGAGACAGTTTGTGCTGGTTCATAAAAAGAACTCATTTTGGGCAACTATTTGCAGATCTGGATTTACTGCATCTCTCCAGACAAAGGAAGTTACAGGACCTTTACCCAGAACAGCAGGAAAGACTCCACTAACCCTCCCAGGCAGTCACGACCCGTGCTGTCCCTGGGCAGGTGGATGCCAAGCCCTGAGCTGGCGGGGCAGCCCTGGCTTACACAGCACAGACTCCTCAAGGACTTCCACTCGCCCAGGCCTCTACCACGGCCCCAGATGATGAACTCCCCCCCACACGACCACACTGCTCCCAGTCCACACTCCCCCCTCCAGACACACACCGTAGGACCGCGCTGCCCAGGGAGGCTTTACCCCTGCCAGTGCCCTGGCTCTGCTGCCGCCACCCCTGGCCCTGTGGCATTCCAGCTGCTGAGCAGACAACCTGGGGCCACTGAGTTTGACCAACAGTGTACCAGTTCGGGTCATCAGAGGGGTAAGGGACTGACAACTCTAAGGAGGACAACTAAAGCCAGCCTGTAGGATCTCCAGGAAATACAGAATCTTTAGCAATGTAAATTACAGAAATATCTGTGCATAACAGTACCATCACAATACCATTACCATTCTTTGACAAGAGATTGCCAAATTCTACAGGCAGTAGATATGGTGCACCTCTCTATCCTCAGGAGTACCTTCAATACCTGGATCTGATCTTACTGCCAGCCCCGGGGCTGTCCCTGGGTAATTTTCATTCCTGACAGTACACAAGGCATTTACATGCCTGTGAGACAGACCCCAGCGCTGCAAAATCCCCTGCCCTTCCCTCCTCTGCCGGCAAGGTCAGCAGCTTTCAGCACCACTGACGGGCAAACCCCGAGTACAGCACCGCCTGCTCCAGCCCTCCAGCAAACCAGTGCTGGAACACGGTACAGAATGTTTTCAGACCCAAACATCCCAGTAGCACAGCATGCAAGAACTGCGCAAGCCTCACTGTGTGCTCAAACCATCGTATCAGCTGGCACCACACACACAGTAGTACTACAGTTCCAGATCGATTAGCCACCTCTTCACCCGCTTGGACCATCAGCCTTGACACTTGACCTCCAGGCAGCAATATTTGCAATATTCAATTTTTAAAACCACTAACGCTTCAAAGTGCCATCTGCTGGTACTTTTGTTATTTACATACAGCTATTTCAGAACTACAAGCAACGAAAGCGTCTGTGTGCTTTTCAGTTGGCAACACCTCCAACCCAAAGACTCACAGCAGAATTATTTTAATATCATTAAAGGGGTTTATTGCCTCTACATCCTAGAACACTTAATTACCATTGTGAAAGTCTAGCACGTAATCACCAGAAGCTTCCAGAAATGAAAGTTATTTTGACAGCATATGGAGGCTGGTAATTAAACTTTTAATATGGACCAGACAGTAGCGTTTTCTTTCAAAACTCTTAATCACAAGTCTATATTTAACTTCCTAACCAGGGCAGAGGAATCCTGTCTTTCTACAAAACTAAATCCAGAAGTTACCAGGTTCCACTGGTTATGATCTAGAAAGTAGCTACCACACCTTACAAAAAAGTTATTTAGATTTACTTAACTTTTTAATATGGCAAAAGTTAAGTAATGCACCAAGACTTAGAGCAACAGTCACAATTCAGAGTAACTCTATTTACAATTTTCTCCTAAAAAAAGCTGTCAGTCTGTTCTCCACATTTCTCCAGCAGAAAGATGACTCTTAAGGTCAAAGCTATTTAGAACCTGGAGGCACCACCTCAGCAACAGGGACTATGCAACAGCTACTGCCTTGGGCTTAGGGAAAACTACCTCAGTAACGACAGAACACTTGAGGATGCTGTCTGCATTTCCAAATCTCAAAGATTATTTTTAAAATTACTTACAGATGACAGCAATAGTTACCATCAGGAACTGGTTGAGGTCTGTTGAAGTTTTCTGCACATGGAACAGATCCACACTACCTACAATGAATTAATCAACCTCTCCAATTTTGTTTCCTTTTTTTGCCCCCTCCTTCTACCTACTCCTTTCTGCATTTTCTGAATTTCCAATTCTTTCTCCTGTCACTGTTTTCTTCCACAGCTCTTCCTGCAGGACACACAGAGACACAGCCCCACGTGAATAAAATGCATTTGCTGTGAATGTCCAGGTCACTGCTGCTCTGGAACGGCAACAACTACTGCCCAGCTTGGCCCACATGTCTGCTCCACCCTGAAAACTTCCCATTTACATGCAGCTTCCTGAACAAGCAGAAGTTTCTATGACACCAACCATTTAGAGACAGCACAAACTTAGTTAATGAAAATTTATTCGTTCATTAAGTCATTGACAGCTCTTATGCGACCAGGGCAGAAGCTGTTGATGATTCACTACAAAGAGAGAAAAAAGAGAAAAAGATAAATATAAATTGCAGAGGCAGTTTTTCAAACCAGTTGTCAAAAATACTTCAGTTCAAAGATTTATCTACCAGTCCCAAGCTTAGTCACTTCCCATGGAATTTTTTTCTGGTTTAAAGATAGCACTCTTCATTTTAAAATACAAAAACTAGGATAACAGCACAAAACTCTATATTCCCAAACCTAGCTAGCTGCACTTAAGTCTTTTCAGAAAAAGAGAAGCTAGCTCTAACATCTATGGGAATTCTCCTATGTTGGCTAAAATAACCTGGAGAAAAACTACAACTTACTTTCGCTTTTGCAACAGCTACTAAGCCATTTCTCAGTAAACTTTGAAAGTAACATAAAAGTGTAAGTGAAAACAAAGACTGCAGTTTGTATAAAATGTTATAAAAAATACCTAACAGATAGTGACTTCATTTGTTGAGGCAATAATTATTTAAGTGTTATAAGAGTCATTTTACCCAGCAGTAAGTTTCATTAATTTATCAGTTAATATTTATGAAAACACCTATTCTTTGCTGCCCGGTTTACCTACATAATGCACTCTTCACCCTTTGAACAGCCTCACATATTGTTTACTAAACCCACGAGACTTCAGTGAAAATAGTAACACAAGAGAAGACTTACTACTTCCAATTGGGCGGCAGCACTCTCTTAGTTTTGTAGTAGCGAGCCAACCTATGGATTCTGCTTTCAATCAGAATCAGGCGGAACTTGGCATCTTTATCCTTGAAAAGAAAGTTACATTACAACCGAGCACCTACTTTGACTTCTCCATGATGTACAGTTCAGATGGACTTTGTAATTAAGCAAAAAAATCTACAGCTGCTGCTACAAACTCCACTTTCCCATTACCAAAGCCTGATGAATCTGGTAAAATCAGCAGAAATATGTGGTTTAAGCAATGCTTTTAAGATCCTTTTCAGAGACCATTTTCCTTTACCAAAATGCTTCTCCAAACACCTGAGTTTACTCAAAAGGGGGCGGCTAACAGGAAGCACACTGAAGTCTTTGCTTTGTCAAGTTGTAACTACACAACGCTATTATTTGAAAAAAACAACATAGAGACTTACCTACTTAAATTAGCACTCACCTTTCTGTTTCTCTCAAGGTGCTTGCGAACAGCAACAGCTTTCTTGATCAAGTGATAAAGATCCTCTGGAAGGTCTGGGGCCAGTCCCTTCGATTTAAGGATTCTCAAGATTTTGTTGCCAGTAACAAAGCGAACCTGGGCAACACCATGGGAATCCCTCAAGATCACACCTGAAACAAACATTTGTATCTCACACTGAAAAGAAAAACCTTAAACCAATCCTACAAAATCAACCTTATAGTTAGAAGATATCCAAAAAAGGTCTTCTCTAAATCAAAAACTTTTCTGGTGGAAACTGAACAAACCGTAGACAATGAGTAAGCAAATGATAACTTACAGAAGCTGAAACACTTTATCAGACAGCACTTAACAGACAGCTAACCCACTCATCACATTTAGGCAGGTAACACATTAAGTGCTACAATATTTGGAAATTTTCAACAGTACTCATTAAAACTAGGTATTCAATCACTCTTTTCTCTATGGTTAAGAAAGATGTCATAGATATCTTTACTCTAAAAAGTTCTGTACCACAGGGATCATTTAATACTCTAAAGATCACACTTAAAAAGCCCCAAACAATATTCACATAGCACCTAAGTACACCACATAGATCATGACCATAACTAAACTTTTAGGAGTGATTCCTAAACCTTACCAATCTGCGAGGGAGTCAAGCCTTTTTTAGCCAGCTTGTAGATCTGTTCCTTGACATCATCAGAAGTAAGTTTCAGCCACTAAAGAAAATCAAACAAAAAAAAATAATCTGATGAACACTGCTTAATACAGAAGCATAGTCTAGCTACATGAATGCTTTTTATAAATGGCAGAAAGAATGCTTTGTAATGCTTGAAAATTAAGAACTAAAATTGTACTTTTTAATGATATAGAAACCTTTTAACATACTGTGAACCTATAGTGCTAGTGAAATATGGTGGGGGAAGGCAGGCGCGAAGGAAGAAAGTCTCTGTTTAAAACACCCCATACAGCCTCCAACCAGCTGCTTTATCATATTTACTTGAACGACCACACTTAAAGCATGAACACAAATTTACAGAAGAAAAAATCACTGCCATTGGAACTCCTTCAATTGGACCTTTGACAGGAAGACAAAATTGAGAACCATTTAGCTATCTCTTTGTAAAGCACCTACAGAGATTAGTGAAAAATCAGACTAAAAATACACAAATTAATTAAAAAATGAAACAAATTGATCTACTCAGCACAGTTCAAGAAAGAACTGCACCTTTTCTATTTCTTCTGAGTATATCCATTTGTTTCACTGGGGAAGACAACAACAACAAGGCAGGCAATCCTCATTCTTTCAATAAGCTACAAAACCACCTCACTTATTTTTTTTTCCTTTTTAATACTGTCACAGTATGAAACAGAAAACCATAGCAAAACATATTTGGAAGTTTTTTGTAGATTACATTTTACAACAGAATACAAATAAAACTAAGCAAAAAACCCCACAGGGTTTTTTAAGCCAACTGTAGCATTTGAGCATCCTAATCATTATTAAACTGTTTAGCCACCAGCAGTACTTCAAGCAGCTTCACATTATCTCACTTCAAACTGTACTTCTTTATTTTCACATTTTGGGCTTTAATTTTACGTTTAAGTGTTTTTCAGCACCTGCTTTACCACACGCACCACAAATTAATCTTTCTGCCATCAAACAGATCTTTCTGTTTTCTAAGTACACTGAATGAACCAAGTGCATGCTGATATTATTTGTTAGTGTTCTGACCAGCAAATTACAGTCGTGAATAGTTTAGAAGAAAGCCAGTTTACTCTACAATGGTAAAGGCCAAACTCGAGCATGAAGAGTAATTTAATTTCTAGGAATTATCATCACATGAACTAAAAGTAATTGAAATAGCACTTAAAGGGAGCTACAAAGAGGGAAAAGAGACTTTTTTTGCTCAACAAATCATCTAGCTAGGAAACGATACTTGCTTCCTCAGCGTTCTAATACCATAGGCTAAGGTAGCATTTTATCAGGCCATAATTTAGAAACGATGACACAAAATATCACAGCTCTTCCTTTTGGTTCTTCTCCTGGGCACAGCTGAGATGCACTGGGGGAACCGGACCTTGCGCCGAACGCCACACGGCAGCCGCCCGGGCCCGCAAGCTACTTACCGTAGGCACGCTGCGTCTGTAGGGCAAGGCTGACTGGGACAAGCCCTTCCTGTGGGTAAGAAGCAGATCACACGCTAAGCGGAGCCGGACGAGGCAGCCTGCCGCCCTGACCCGCCACCCTGCTACAAGCGCTTGCTGCAGGGCCGCGTCCAGCGCGCAGGGCCGAGGCCTGCGGCCGCCTAGCGTCCCTCCTCGCCCGGAGACAGGGCCGCCATCAGCACAGGCTGCACCCGGACAACGCCGGGAACAGGAGCCGGGGTCAGTCCCGGCCCAGGGAACCCGCACCTCAGCGCCAGCCCTGTCTCTTAT